TCGATCTAAGCGTAAAAGACGCCTCACCATTATTCAGATTGACATACTTCGGATCGAGCAAAAAATACTCATGCATTGCATGGCCGAAGCTAGGTGGAGTCTTATCCTTGAACTGAGCGATGATCTTCTGCGATGCCGGGATCATAGTTATGGTACTCTGCAGGGTTGACGACTCCGCTCAAGTGCAATGTATAACACCAATTAAGGTCCAAAGAGTACTGCCAGCGGTTAAACAGAGTCACCGAAAGCGCTGGTCTGACTCGACGTATTCGCCGACAGCCGACGCTCAAATACTCACGGCGCACTTTTAGACGTTCAGAAAGTGACCAACGGTCCTGTATCGGGGGTTATCGCACCACGTGCCAGAACACAACGTCAGAAAGGAGTCCGAATCTTGAGGATAAGTTTGGATTCCGAAAAGCCCGCAAAATTTGACCAGGAAAGGGCATCAGGTTCTCGAAACTGCATCGTGAGGTGGTGCATAAAGGACTCAAGTGACTTGATATTCAGATCGCCGTTGAGGCCGAGGAACATCGTCATGTGAATGTGAAGCATTCAAGCAATATTCAGAGAGTCGAGAGATTTCAAAAACTGACTCGAGCTGCGACAATCAACGCCGAAATGTCAACAAACTGAAGACGGCGCGGGGGAATGATGATGGAAAATACGGCCACCACCTCTCCTGGCACCACGTGTTTCGCGTTCGATCACCAATAGCAACTTGCCTTGGCACCAATGTCAGTAAAGGCCTACCAGCAGGCCTCAGGCCTCAGGCCTCAGGTATTGGTGTGCTGTAAATAACGAACACCATCAACCGAAGAGATGCAAGGACCGGATAAGAAAATGCGCCACCAAAAAGTCCACTGGATATAAGCGGCCAACCACATTAAGTATGCGGGATCCAAGTCGACTCGGGTTTCGCACGAAACAGGTCCACAAGCAAAGCTTGAGCCAACATCGGTCGTACCTTCCAGTTGATCCTTTGTCGAGCCTTTGCAAGTGACCGGTCATGGACGGCTCACAACCTGGTGGCTTTAGTAGCTCGGACAAGGAGAAGCCAACACTTTTGGTGAGAAGGATGAGATGGCGTACATCTGCACAGGTAAGACTATGTGTTTTTGCCCTTCGCCTTATTTTCTGCCTATTCACTGTGCACCTCCTAAAATTACACTCTACTGTCGATGTGGTACGTCCCCTTGTCAATCCGTTGCCCGTCCGTGGGCTGCGAAACATCGACAGCTGGTCATTTCTCAAGATTGTAGCGCTCACACTCAAATCAAGGCTGGCGAGCCCATCCGTTGTCGTGAACCTGTTCCGAATGGCAATGTGACAGATAGGTTCACGGGGTGTGTCCGAGGAACGTCGATCACGTAGCATTGCAATAGTTGGGCTATTGCGAGTGCCCCCATTTTTATCGAACGTTTTCAGATCATGTACATAAAAGAGTGACAGAGCGAACGGCGGAGGTATTTCCTGAGTCCTCCAAGGAATAACTGGAATGTCTGTGGCCAGTTTTGCAGCCGAGATGCCCAAAACAAAGCTCAACAAAAAAAGAGCGGCAACAGAAGACCTTTGCCAAAATATCAGGGTGCCAGCTGCAGCGGGCTGTTCTTTCTAGGACCCGCGATTTTCCTTCATCATACCCTTTCATCGCAATTGACTTACATATGCCCACATCGACTGGGTCATCCTGCATCCGCCCCCACTATCGGAGTGGAATGTTGGCAAACTAACGGATTCAAACCGCTGGTAACTCAAACCGCTGGTAGGAAGTTGCTACCCGTGACAATGGCGTGAATGTGAATAGACTGAACAGGTTTCAACGGCTTCTAGGCGCTAGACGAGCCACCTCGCAGGTGATAGAAGTCTATTGGCTGAAGACACTGGCGTACACAGCTGGGCGTTTCACATACTTACGCCAAAGGTGTGGTGACCAGGATACTGTGGCCATACGCGAGTGTTATTCAGTTACTTGGTCTTCCGGGGTTCGGGGTTGGCGTTGTTTTGGCAAAGGTTTGGTTTTTGTTCCTTCGGCGTTTTGGTTTCCGTTCGGGACCGGTTCTTGGGGCCCATTTTCCGGTTACTTTTCGGCACCGGGGTTCTTCTTGCCTTCGGCTGTGACCGCCATACTTTTGGCGTAGGTGAAACGCTCAGCTGTGTACCTTCCGAGCAAGTTCTAGTCCGACCCACCGATCCATACAGATGCGCATCCGTTCCGATATTTCGTTTTGGTCATCGGACGTCAACATGTCAGCTTTATGACTGCAGAAGACAAGAAATAGGGTGACTTCTGGACCAAACGTTCTCGTCTTCTGGCGCCCAAGGCTGTACACGTGTGGGAAACAAGGCATTCAATAGCGGCCGCTTTGCCTTACGAATCCTGCCGGCCATTGCGTGTCGATGAAGATGTACTCTCGATGAATGCATGAGACTACATCTGCCGATGCGTGTACGTATGCTTTGTTGAAGGACATGGCGGGATGCAGGCTGTGGCCGGCTTGTTGGGTGAGAAAGATCGTGATACCGGAGCGGATCTATGCCCAAAACGGTAAACACCGAGCGGTGTCTAACCGGACATGCCGGCCCAACACCGTGGTGGCGTTTTCTTTGACTTCGAGTACTCTGCTCGATGATTTTTGTACACTTCTTTGTGGCCACCTTCGGAGTTGTCGAGCTGCTAACTCTACAGTGTTCGGGCTGCATTGGCGTGTCCGCGATAAGGAGATCGTGTCGTATCGAATGAGACAAAGAGATAATAAAATTCCTATCGACTCCGAACTTGCATTGACGATTCGCTCCTCATGTCGCGGACCTTCCTGTACCGCGACCTGGGGCCCAAGCCTCTGGTCAATGTGTTCTGTATTCAGATGTATCAACCCACTAAATTAAAGTTTATCCCTACCGCCGGTGCGCCCCACCAAGACCCATAAATACCGGGGTGTCCAGGTTTGAGAACAACCTACGCGTGCTTTCAACCGTCTCGCCTTTTCTTTCCTCTTGTCAGTTGAAGGTCTCAGTCATTATAACCTCTTGCAATACAGCCCCACCGTACATACCACCTCCCATTCGCAATCATGACCCTCCCCGCTCTCGACCTCAAGCTCTCTGGCTTCGGTGACATACCCACACCGTCGTGTACACACACCCAGGCTTTTCCCGTCTCGTCCGTGTCATGGACTCAGGCTCAGAGAGGGCTCCTGTTCTCCGCTTTCCTCTTTGGCATTGACACACGATCCTACGGTACGCTTTGTCCTCGTCGCCAATCAGCACGTCGCGCGACCAAGCCATTGACGACCTTTTTCTTTGTCTCTCTAGATGACTCCGAGCCGCTCGAGATCATCCCCCTCCGGGCACCCAAGTGCCCTCAAGACACATGGAACAGTCCAGACATGGACTTCTCCAATCTGAAGATCTCGGACACGCATCGCGCGTCGCGTGGCTCTGGCTTCGGTAAGTCACGCGGCCAACATGCCTCGCATCGAGTTGCTCAATGCAATAGGTTTGGGCGACGCCGACTACGCCGTGCAGCAGCACGTCCAGTCGCCGCCATTGCAGATGGAAAACTACTGCGCAGCTCCATTCCCGCCAATGGCGACACCGACATGCTCTGATCTGTATGTCATGCCGCGCTCCCTTCATCCGGCTGGTTGCCGCGATAGGCGCCAGGCGGCACCTTCCGGACGCAAAATCGCGTCACGCAAGAGATTCTCACACGCCAAGCGCTCTGGAGCTTTGAGTTAGGTGTGTGTTCTCGTTGCTTCCATAATCTACCAACTGTCTCCCTTCATATCTGTTTCTTCTTTCTCTCCATAGTCTACCAACTGTCTCCCCTCATATGTGTTTCTTCTCTGAAGCCCACCTCACTTTCTAGTAACCTTTACTTAATTCTTCGTTGTATGCGATTCTCTTTCCCTTTTAAAATTCTTTTGTGACTGATCTCACTTGGTGTACAGTAGAATATATGTAACGACCTTCATGACGACCACCCATTATGTATCCCCACTCCACATCCTCCACACTTTTACATAGTTTCCTCTCGCGCAAGCACGGTACAGATACCCTCGAAAAATCTCGCAAGTCTGTTGTTTTGGATAGTTGTCGCCTGCTTGACCGTAGCCACGTACGCAGCCGTGTATTCACCTCTCGCCCTTCTGTACGATTGTATATGTATTTTCTCAAGATAAACCTTGAGTTTCTACCGGTTCAAATATCTGACTCTCAATCCTCGTGCATGCAAGCCCAAATCTCGGGACCCTGTGGGAAAATCACACTCAGACTCCACCTCGAGCGCTTTCAGTCGCAGCGCGCACACGGTGGTCTCTCAGGCGATCCAACGACCCTTTAGTTTTCATTTCCGCCTCCCGTACGAAGTGTTCCATGCAGATGGTACCTGTGCGAGTGCCGTCTACCCGCGCTATGTATGCATCATCTCAAATTGTTATCGCGCGGTCCCGCAATATAAAATGAAGGGCTTCTATACGGTTCAAATGGGATTGCCTCTTCGAGCACGCATCCTTGCAGATCGCGACCAACCGATTCGTTACTCGTATTAGGGTTCCTGTCATGTCCCTGTCACCCTACCCCACCGTATCGGTACGTGGGCGCAACTTCCCGGTGTCCTTGCCTATTTCGCAAAGATGCCCTCATCGATTGACGAGAGGGGCAACCGGCACAGAGTCATTCTGAGTGCTAGCTAGGACGGCGTAAGCGGAGAGAACTTGCGCTGAGATCATACAACTATCACCTCGGCTATCCGTGACATTTCCATAGTAGATCTGTTCGTTAGTACTTAGTGCCATGGGTCGAACAATAGCATAGAGCAGCGCGGAGCGAGCTGGGCGGTTCGTGCGAGTTCGACAGATTTTCTTTGGCGCGCGCGCCCGCGGGTAAGATCCAACCGAAAAATGCAATGCTTCTACTTGCAATTGCGTATGACACGATGTGTTAACAGAAGAGGAAAAGAAGGATCTGCCCAAGGGCACGTTACACAAAAACCAGAAGGGCCCAACCGGGAATTGAACCCGGGACCACCTGCAAGCTCAGGAATTCCCAAAGCAGGTATCATGCTTCTAGACCATTGAGCCACCCAGTGAGTGGGTGAATTTTAAGTCTGTTATACTATAACAGCACAAATTATCGGTGCACTTAAACAGGCGCATATAATCACCTCGACGACATCCCGCGGCGCCATGATAATGACGAATATGAAAGTCTAGTGGTATGTGAACGTTTGAACAAATGGTACATTCATTTATAGTAGTGTGATCCAGGCATAAGAACTATCGTCCATTGTCATTGGGGCGTCATCCCTCCCAACAGCCCCATCTTTTCATCTTTATCCCGGACCCGTTATCCAAATTACAAAGGACGCAAGTCCACGACGTGATAGAAGAGCAATAAAACAGCGTGAATTGGAAACGGGGGATCGTGACCGTCGTCATGCATGAATGCTGATTGGGCAAATAATAGGGTATATATCACAAAAGCGCGGCGAAGGTCACGACAGTCATGAAGAGGGTCGTTGCAACATGCCACATGCTCGACATGCTCACAGCATTGTTTGATGAAACAGAATTGGAGTCAGCGGCTGCAGAAGTAGCAGTTGCAGAAGTAGCGGTCGTAGAAGTAGCGGTCTTAGAAATAGCGGACTTAGTAACGGCCTTAGTAGTAGAGTGGGCCGTGCTTGTGGTGTTCAACATGGCTGTGGAGGTCGAGGCAACAGACGTGGACGAATGACTGCCTGTCGCAGGACCCGCCGTGGTCGCAGAGTCCGTTGTGGTCGCGGAGAAGCCGGACAACCAGCTTGGCAACGCGGAAGCGTCGGACGGATCGTTCAGCGCGCCTATGCCCCACAGAATGTCGGACGTGTTGTGGGACGGCGCCTCATAGAGGCCGTCTGCCGTCGCGATGATGAAACGCCCCGTCCATGCATGATCTGTTGCAGCCGCAGCGCTGAACTGGTAAAAGTAGATTTCGGCATTGGGATGGACCTGAAAATCGGAAAAATACGGGTTAAGAGTGGTTAAGAACGCACAACATCTTTCCTCTCGTTGCGATGGGATACGGAAAACTCACGCTAGGACAAGGGTAGCTATATGAACCACTCTTGGTTCCGTCCTGATTGGACGCGACAGCTGACAGAAGGAAGGCAATAATAAGAAGATGAACAAAAAGGCGTGAAAACAATTCATACTGGTAAGATGGACCATGGCGTTATTACTGCCCGTCATGAGCTCGATAACCATGCTTCCCCATTTGCTATCGGTGGAGGTATCACCCTCCCAGGAAACGTGGCACGTTTTGCCCTCGTAGTACATTGCACCTGGGCTGGGATCTGAAGGGCTGACATCAGCGCGCGCGAGCAGGGCAGTGCCAGTGGCGAAGGTGGCTAAAAGAGCGAGTAACATGTCGTCCGGTTATTGTGGGCTGTGGGAGTTACTAAAAACGCAGTTCCTGTCGATATCCAGCCAGAAAAAAAAGAAAAAGAAAAAATGCACGCACAAACAAGGATGATGGTGAAAAGAGCGACGAGTACAAAGAGTGGCGGCTTAGGCGAGAGAAATTTGGGCAGAGGCAAAGATGAATGTGGGTGCGCTTGAGGGGCGCACTTATAACATCGGGTGTCACCCACGCGCGGCGGCGGCGTGTGACAGATCCTGATGGCCATGATCGGCGGACTGTAGTCGGCACTGTCGTCAGCTGTCGTCACACGCTTATGTCTTCGGCTTGGCGCCCCTTGGCGCGCACAAAAATAACGTGACCGAGCCATGGTGATCCTGAAATTCCCATTAGCTATATATTCTGGGCGTTTGCTTCAACTTCGGTTCAGTCTTGTCAATAGCCGCCTTCTGTCGTGACCAGCGAGGATAGCGTCTCGCTCCCTGCTACTGCGAAATCGCCGCGGCGCTGGGGCGAAGGCGCAGCTTCATTTCAATGCAACTGACCTGGCGCACTGTCTCGCGCTACCGCTAAATGTATAGCATTGGTTCCAGGCATCTATATCAGAGAACGCTAAGTCATGTGCATGAGTTACTGGAAGATTGGACTTTTAAAATCATGCCTTGGACACTTGCATATAGGTTGTTCGGTGATTGACCGAGTTACGATCCTTCCCGCGAGAGCCTTCGTCCTTACGACAATGCCTACACACCGTCCCTTTGTGGTGCCAGGAGCCGTACGCCGGCGGCACCAAGTTTTGAAAAAAAAAAACCCCCTCAGTTGAGGGAATCGTGCGCCTGACGCTCCACACAGAAGGATGGAATATGGGCCGCTACACGGAAGTAGACATGATTAGACACTCACTGCCTCAGGGCAGCAGCACGTCCTGGTGTTTGACCTTACCTCTAGCGCTATACAAATGAAAAAGTCGAACAAAAAAAAGACTGAGCCACGACTCACCGCAAGCACAGGCTGCAGGTCGAGAAGCGATTCCAAAAGGATATCCTGGGCCCTCAGGGCATTATATATGACATAGTGGGGAAAGGACAACGAAACGTGTGTGCCACACTTTTTAAAGAACTAGTTTTCGGCGCCATTCGCGCCAAGACTCGACTGCCCCACTTCCGAGTCCAGGAATGAGTTGGCTTGCTAATGATATAATGACAGGCTCAATGTTTCTAGACTATTCACCGACAAATCCTACTGGAACTCTGTCTGAGTCAAGCCTCGTAGTCATATTCATGCACTCAACTTGGAAACGTCGGCTTCGCCGACATAGACCTAGCTGAAAGGCGTGCGCACGGGGTTGTTAGTGGGGAGATGTGTTTTTGATGATCACGTTCAATTATAGGTGTTTATTTTTGTAATACCCATCACCCGTAAGATGTGCGTCGAGGGAAAAAGTGATCATTTGACTTGCTTCCCCCGCGAATATGTACATATGAGCGGCGGACCCGGACATTCTAGAATCTTTCGATCGCTAACGATGATAAACGTGTTCGTTCTAGGATCTCGACGCGCATTCTCGTTCAACCACACGATCCACCCTGGGACAGTATCCGGTTTGCGTTGGGGAGTGTGTCGGCAGTGGTTGCCGTGAAAGGATTGGAAAGCGCGCGGATAATCGTCTGAAACGAGAAAGGTAACGGTAAACGCCATGGAATGTATTGAGGGTAAGAGAATTACAAAACGATAGCGGTACATGTTCGCCCACATTTACACGATAAGTCATACTTTCGACCGAACGATGACCGTCACGGTAAGTATTGAGAGTAAGAGAAATAGAAAACGATACTGGTACGTGTTCTCCGACGGAGTACGGACAGGTGGTAAGTCAGCCCTTATAGAAGTCCGTCCATGAAATGAAGTTTACAACGGCGCGCGTGGCTGGAAGGAGGGACAGACGTGAAGGAGAGACGTCATCGCCAAACTTAGTAATGGTGATTCATGGTCAAGGATTGATGAGACATTGAGTCATAATGTTGTTATCGGTTTACCCCGTGGTGAGGGTAAAGAAGAATGGTACTGTACACGGGAATGCAAAGAAGACTTACAAAACTCTGAAATGTGGAGGTAGCGACGAATTCTATTGTGAAACGGCAGCGCAATACGGAAGGAATGTCCATCAAAGGATCGATCGGTGGCAGTGTTAACCCTCACGGTAGAGACCTAGCTTTCAGCTATGGTGCCGCTCACCTAAACACCGCTTACTTTGTACAGAATTTTTGACACGTGCAATTTCGAGCAGAAGCCTTATCCTTCTTGTAAAAATGCTCAGCTTGATGATAGGAAATGATCCCCCAGGAGGATTTTCATTTGGGTGAAAACTGAAGAAATTATTTATTTTTTGCATTTGGAGATTGGGTGATACGAATCATATACCATAAATGGACATTCCTAATATGGTAATTACCAGATACAGCTTACTGGGGAAGACATGGGCGTGCGCGAAAGCACTGATGACATCACCATATAAGGCGGAGCTGCTCCTCGTAAAGGGGGAATGAATGAAAAAGGTTATAAAAATTATGATGTGCTTATGAGATGGAGCTTACTAATTTAAATTCATAGCGGACTGTCGTTTGGATAATAGAGTAGTAATAAATGGACATTCCTAATATGGTAATTACCAGATACAGCTTACTGGTCAAGTCCTTGTGCAGTGGCCTCCGGAATACGAATGAGAGGTGTACTATTTACTGTACACATTGCTATTATATTATTTTTTTGAGCTAAAACATGAGCACTTGAGCACGCGATGTGCTCCCATTGCTTATGGCGGAATTCTCGGGCATGTATAAAAAAATATTTTTGGGTCTGACCAAGTCGAGCGCTATACAAACGAAGCGGTGTCTAGGTGAGCGGCACCATAGGTAACTTGTAATCTCTGCAGATCGTTCTTGCAGATCGGTCGACGCAGACGGAGTTGTACGCGACCTCGTGATCTGCACGTCCAGATGACGTCACGCGTTTTGGATGGCTTCGAAGCCCTTCTTCTTTTTCATTTTATGACAGCATGTAGCATTAATTATCGGCCAGTGTTGCTAATTTCTGAAATAACTGTTCAAATTTCATTGGCTGTCATCCGAACCGTTTTTGACTGGGGTTCAAAGATGTACAGCATTCCGAGAATCGGAGAGTAAGTATGTGCGACTCCTGCGGTCCCTTTGCTTCATTCTACTATGTAACCCTGCGTCAGATGCTCGCGATTCGCGAATTTGAAAATGCAATCGAATGCGCCTACAATGAGATATATTACAACAGACAGTGGTGAATGAAACACACAGTAAGTGGGGATTTTGATGACTATGAAAGTGCTATCACCGTCCATCCCTTCAAGTTGGGATTGGGCAAGTAAAAGCAGTATCCCTTCTTATTCAATATCCATCATTCGAATAAGTATTTCTTTTGGTCACGTTTTGGGTCAAACACCATTGGGCGTTGAGCGATTTCCACCCAATAGCTATTCCCGGGCATTATTCAGGCAAAAACAGGTCTGAAGATGTGTTTTTTTTTTTCAGTGCATCTATTGAAAGACGAGTAAATGATGACCAAAACACAGGTAACACCCTAGGGGAAGGGAAGGACGCGCGTACGTGTGTGCATGGGGTGCGGGGAGAGGGCAGGCCATACGAGAAGGAGACTT